CCTTGCCTATTTATAGACAAATTTGGGGCACACACTTCAAGAATTTGATAACATAATTAATAGTGGTTATTCCACTTTTACACAATAATTGTGTTTTTCTTTGCCTTTTTTAGTAATCGCACTGGCCGGGATGTTCTAAAGTTGAATGCAAAAAAACCGAGCCGAAATCGAAAAAAGGAACGAACTTCGGTTTGGTGTTTTGGCGTGGATAATTTTTATTCGATTTTTTTTTGTTTTTTCTAAGTCACGGTAAAATTTAATTATAATATTTTATCTTTTAATTTCGATTTCGTATTTTGGTGTGGATAATTTTTATTCGATTTTGATTTTTTTTTCTACTTCGTCGTAAGAGTTAGTCATAATACTTTCTTTTTTTAGCGGTTTACTTTGATTTGGTTTTTTAATATAGTTAATTTTATTCGATTTTAATTCTTTTTTTCTACACAAATGTAAGATTTAGTTATAATTTTGACAAGTTTTAATTTCTTTTTTGTAGCGGATTTGCTTTGAGACCGACTGGATTAAACACTAATGGGTAGAAAACCGAGCTAAAATCGACAATCGAGTCAAATCATGCAGTTCGACATTATTATATCGTAGAAGAACTTTAGTTACGTTTTGGTTCGATTTTTTTTTTCTTTATTACGGTGCAGTTCGTTTATTTTTATTTTTTATACTTGTTCACCTAGGTTATTAGTCCTAACATAACGAACTCTATATACATGACAAACCGTGGATATTTTAGAATTTCAAAATGATGATAATCTACCTGTAAAGTGAATAGACAATTGCTACTCAAAAGAAATAAGAGAGAAAAATAAGGTGAGCAGAAAATAGGAGAATGATTGTTTTATGTGGCAATATTTGATTTTTGAATTTTTATTCAATATACATAATGATGCAAATTTGCTTCTAATATAAAAGGGTAAAATATTTTTTCTCATCCGAACTATCACGGTTTTGGCGTATCACCATATAAACTATTTTTTTGTACAAACCACCATATGAACTATACGAGTTTGTCAATATGCCCCCTAAACCGGATATAAAAGTGGTTTAGAGGGGCACATTGACAAACCCGTGATAGTTCATATGGTGGTTTGTAAAAGTATTTAGGGGCACATATGGTGACAAAACAGCTTTTTTAGTCAAAACCACTTTTATATTTGGTTTAGGGGGCACATTGACAAACTCGTATAGTACATATGGTGGTTTGTTAAAAAAAATAGTTTATATGGTGATGCGCCAAAACCGTGATAGTTCGGATGAGAAAAAGTATTTTACCCAATATAAAACAATGGCCAACCTTACCATCTTAAAAAATGGCTTCAAAAAGTGATCATGGATGCATTCTACAATTTGCTCAACACCTATTAAATGAAATAAATTGTTCATGAACTCAGCCCGACTCGAATAAAGGACTTGCGTCCGAGCATATTTAGTTAGGCTCAACTCGTTAAGGTTTGCTAGATTTAAAAAATCTGAGTTTTTTTTTTTTACATGATTTTTCGAACTTTTAGTATAATTCATTTCATTAAGACTCGAGCTCGTTTATCATTTGGGCTGGATAAAGGCTCGTTATCAAACGAATTGCGTCCGAGCTTGTTTAGTTTGGCTCAACTCATTAAAGTTCGATAGACTTGAAAAATAAGATTTTTATTTGACGATTTTATGAACTTTTGGCATATTTCAGGTCGTTAAGGTTCAGACTCGTTTATCGTCTTGGCTCGATAAAGGCTCCATTTTTTTATTTTACTTTATTTTTTTAAATAAAAGGCTCCAACTTGAGTATCAAGAACTTTAAGCAAAGGCCACTATTTTAAATGCCCATTTCCACAATTGCACAATTTACAATTTTATGAACAAATTTCCAACATTCTATGGGATGCAAGAAAGTGTTATCCAGAACTTGTCCCATATTACACAAATTGAATTTTACCTGAAACTCAGGTATGCTAACTCGTATTTGGTCATCAAGAACACATAGACACTGTCTGAATTTCATAAAGCCGAGGCCTTTAAGCATCATTCGCACGCACATTTTGCATACAACCCATATCAAGCTCCTCCCCCATGATCAAACCTCGAAATTATACCACTCAACGGCCCGAGCCCCAAAAAATCCTGAATTTTTCATTCCCCGAGAAGATTACTCGCACAAGCAAGATGTGGCGAAGGCAAATCACACGGTCACCAGGCTCTGCAAGGAGGGCAAGATTCGCGAAGCACGCGAGATGTTCGAGCAAATGCCTGAACGGGACGTGATATCGTGGACGGCGTTAATATCGGGCCACGTTAAATGCGGCTTGCTTGAGGAAGCCCGAGTGTTTTTCGACAGGGCCGATGCCGTGAAAAATGTCGTAACTTGGACAGCCATGATGTCGGGGTATGCGAAAGCGGGTAAAGTGTCTGAGGCCCGAAAGCTGTTCGATGAAATGCCCGATAGAAACGTGGTGGCATGGAACACAATGATCGACGGGTATGTACGGTGTGGGAGTCTTGAATGTGCAATAGATTTGTTTGGGAAAATGGGGGAGAGAAATATCGCATCTTGGAACACGATTATTTCTGGTTTGATGAAATTCGGGAAGATCGAGGAGGCTCACGAGCTTTTTCGCCAAATGCCGGCAAGGAACGTGGTTTCATGGACTATAATGGTGTCGGGATTGGCGGGAGATGGGAAGGTGGACGAGGCTAGGTCGCTTTTCGACCTGATGCCCGACCGGAATGTGGTCTCTTGGAATGCAATGATTAACGGGTACATTCAAAATATGAGGTTGGTCGAGGCGTATAATTTGTTCGACACGATGCCCGAGAAGGATGTGAAATCATGGAACACAATGATGGCCGGTTTCATTCGAAACGGTGAGCTCGAGAGGGCGCTTTGGTTATTTCATGAGATTCCACATAAAAACGTGGTTTCTTGGACCACAATCATAAGTGGGTTCGTGCAAAACGGTAAAAATGAGGAAGCTTTGAGAATATTCTGTTCAATGATGAGGGATAGAATGGTAATAAAGCCGAACGAAGTAACTTTCGCCACCGTTTTATGTGCTTGTGGTAACCTAGCCGGTCTCAACGAGGGGGCTCAAGTGCATCAAGTGATTAGCAAAATAATTTATCATCAAGAGAGTGAATTCGTGGTGTCGGCACTAATAAACATGTACTCAAAATGCGGTGATCTCAAAATGGCTCGACGGGCATTCGACGACAAGCTTAAAGGGCATCAAGATTTGGTTTCTTGGAACTCAATGATTGCTGCTTACGCCCAACACGGGTGCGGGTACGAGGCTATTTCTATTTTCGAGGAAATGCGTAAAACGGGTTTCGACCCAAACGACGTCACTTACGTTGGACTTCTTAATGCTTGTAGCCATGCGGGCTTAGTGCAAGAAGGTCTAAATTACTTTAACGCCCTTCTAGAGGACGGGTCTGTGAGAGTGAGAGACGATCACTACACTTGTGTAGTCGACTTGTACGGTCGAGCGGGTAGGCTAAAGGAGGCTTATGATCTTATAACTGGGCTTTCTTGTTTGAAAGACTTGGCCTACGCATGGGGGGCATTGCTCCTCGGGTGTAACGTTCATGGGGAACGTGAAATCGGGAAATTGGCGGCCAAGAGGCTTTTGGATTTGGAGCCGGAGAATGCGAATGCATATGTGCTTTTGTCGAACGTTTATAGTGTCGGTGGGGGTTGGAATGAGGCAGAAGTGGTGAAGTCGAGGATGAAAGGCAGAGGCTTGAAGAAACAACCCGGTTGCAGTTGGATTGAGGTTCGGAATGAGCTTCGAGTTTTTGTTGTTGGGGATAGGTCTTCTCTTGATGGGGAGTGTGGGGATGATATTCATTTGTTGCTTTGGGGTCTCCATGAGAAGATGAGGAAGGTTGAAGATTTAGTTTTGGAGAATGTTGTGATGGAAGAGAACTTCTTATAGTTTATTTGTGTGTGTGTGTGTGTGTGTGTGTGTGTGTGTGTGTGTGTGTTTAAACCCCAATAGTTTGTGCTTGCTCTTAGAAAGAGAAAAGGAAAGAGACTAATACAATACTTGTTTTTTTATCGTTGGATCGACACACACTCGTGTGGGTATATGCAGTAAAAGGTTAATATATGAGCTTTTATGCCATTAGATTGACTTAGACAAGAATACCATCCAATGTGAAGTACAAAATTTGGTTACTGGAGAGTTATTAGCTGATTTTATGGTTTTGGGTCACTTAAATTCAGTTGTTGAAGTCTCATTCTCATGCAAACCACAGTGGAGATAAGCAAACCAAACTTAAGTTGGATTCAGTTAATCTTGCTCTTGTCCAAAATCATGTGTGTGCTTCAGACAAGACAATTTAGATATTTATTTTGTGGGAAAAACAAAAAAAATCTTAAATCACACATGTGAGGAATAATTTGGACACTGGTAAGCAAAGGGGAGACTTTGAGAGGGGCGAAAGCCTTTAATACTTAAATTATATATAATTTAATACTTAAAATATATAATATAAATAAATATTCTCCATTTCATAGTATAAGTTTAAATTTTCCATAAAAATTATGATTGCCTAACAACATGAGTGACATTGGTGCAGACTAACTATTAGACGAGTTGATTTATCACACTATTTGAATAAAATACATATGAAATGTCATAAACTATATTTTTAAATATGACATTTTGTATTAAAATAGACACATTTGTTTTTTTAAGTGTGAATTGGATAGGGCTAACAATATATGACCGATATTGCGTGGGAATTTTGCAGCAACTGGCAAAACAAGTAATGTGGGTGAGTTGAGGCAATGATGGGCATGTTAATTTTGTAGTATATATGCATACCAAATTTAATTGCTCTTACCAAACATTAATAAATAAATAAATTTAAGAAATTTAAATAATAAAAAATATTTGTTAGGTATGTTGTATTTTAACAAAATATAAATAATTATGTAAACATATGAAATATTAAAATATGTATTTCATTTATTTATTATTCCTATTGTTATTTTCTCTAAACTAGTAAAGAGCCCGTGCGATGCACGAGGTGCACAATTTTTTAAGGTCATTTATCCAGCCTTATAATTATATAAATTAATAAAGAAAAATATACAGAATATATATAGTACGTGACATGTGCAAGGCACGAGATATATTTATTTGGGGATTATTATACTATAAAATGTTATATTCAATAACAGTTTTACAATACACGAAAATAAATATAAATAATGTAAATATCTAAATACATACACGATATGTAGAATAAATAAACCAAATTGCAAATGTGAAAATATAATTTAAAAAAAAACGAAAATATATTTCATTAAACATGTACAAAAATATCTAAATACATACACGAAAATAAAAATAAAAAATAAAATATACGTTTCAAATTTCGAAACTAAAACAAAAATTCAAATAATTTGGCTTACAGTTTTATCATGCAGAACAAACTCGAGATATGATTTGTATGTGCTGGCCCAGTCTTAGAAAATCATTCTCACAATTTGAACTTTGAGCATATGTCTATTAGACCTATTGACTTGTTTGATTAACCCAAATTCTTGATTCATTGTTTTGAATAAAATACTGATTGGGGGTATTTTTTGTTCGCAAAAGGTTGATAGTGAGGAAGATGATTGCTCGATATTTTGAAATTTGTAATTTATATATATATATATATATATATATATATTGTTGTTAATATTTTTCTTAGAAAGTCTGAATTTGAATATACAGAAGTCGGTTTGAATTTCTATACAATTAGATAATAAATAAAGCTTTTTTTATTTCAGTAAAGATTTTCCGTGCTTTTTTTTTACTTATCGGATGTTATGGGGTTTTTTTTTTGTTAAACCAATTTTATGGTTTATAATACAAATACAATTAGAGAATTGAACAAAATCAAAATATATTTCCATACAATTAGATAATAAGAATGAATTAGATAAGGAAAAGAAGGAATTAAATAAGACATTTTGAATCTGCATTTTTATAGTATAGATAGATTTTATATACAAATTTTGACTTTACCGATTTTATGAGATTTGTTTTGACAAAATTGATGTTAATATGTGTTGACGAGCGTTTTCGGTCAACGGTTAAAGTAACGAATGTCGAAAGCAAAAGATTGAAGACGAAAGGAAGATCTGGTTTAATTACGGTTTTATTAGGCGATCGCGAGGTCAGCCTCTCGTACGAGGTCGACACTTGCGATATACTTACAATTCTTACAATAAACTCCTTACAGTATTAGAGAGAGAAAGTAGAGAGATAGCAGAATTAGTTGAGATTCAACAACCTAAAATAAATGAAATGAGCTGCTATTTATAGTAATCTTTAATGTGGTACTGTTCAGCCACTGTTCACCAGTCTTGTCGCATAGTGGCCTTGCAAAGCAGTTCGGCGTCTCTCTGACATTCATTTAATGCGATTTGAGGTTTCTTCAATCATTACTTATCAGGCATTAAATGCCAGCATGGGGGACATTTAATGTTGGTAGGCTTTATTGATTAAGCTTGCTGGTAGGGTGCTAGGCTATGATAACCCGTCCCATCATCCGATGATGGCCTTCCAAGTGGGAATATTTTAATGCTCATCGAGCTCCGCCCTTTTCCCTTTGGTCAACCACCCCGGATCTTCAGGTCGGCCCTTTACTCGAACATGTTTGCGAGACGGTCAATAGCCTACCTCCTGCCTGGCTCCCTCCAGGTCGGCTTCCGTCCGGACTGAGCCAGGTGCCGGTCTAGGGAAACGTTCCCACGGCTGTTTTGTATATCTTTAACCTTCGGTCCAGCTCGGCACCCCCGGTGTCAGACCGAGTCTTCAGCCCTGGTCCTGAGAGGTCAAATCTCCGGTTCTTTCTGGGCTAACTCGGCTATCAACAATATGGAATAAGACAAATAAATAAAGCCTTTTTTATTTTAATAAAGATTTTACGTTTTTTTTTTTACTTATCAGATGTTATGAGATTTTTTTCTTAAACTAATTTTATGGGATATAAGACAAATAAATAAAATAATTAAATAAAATTATGATTATATATAACAATGCATTAATTACGTTGACTTTTTAACCTTGTAAAACTTGGTAAATAGAATACCTTATTATATAAGTATAGATTTTGATTGTTTTTTCTCACCCGATTTTATAGGATTTTTTATGTCAAGGTAAGAATAATTAAAAATTAGAAGTTCAGCATAAATTTATAAGAAAATTTTTTTTATGGAATTTACGTACATAATTGTTTATGTTAAGATTTATAAGAAGGATTTTTTTATGTCAGCATAAATTATAAATACATTAATTACTACTTGATAAAATTAGAAGTTCATTAATTAAGTTTGACTTTTCTACCTATTATATTTAGTAAATAGAATTACCTAGTATAATAAGTATAGATTATTAACAAAATCCAAATGACATTTTTCTCCCTGTCCACAAACTGCATTTATTTCTACTTCCTTCTTCCCATCAACCCCAAATCCCAACCCCTCACTTTCTCTCTCCTCCATCAACACCCCTTTCTGCCTCTCACCAGTTACCCTTTATCTCTCACGCACACGCATACACAGTTGTGCCCTCACTAGCTTTTCAGTTAGAGAAAGCTCAATCATTGTACCTTCACATCCATTGTTGACGATAGAAAAAAAAGAAGGAAGAAGAAGAAAAGTGAATTAAAGATTCGATTTTTATTTTTGGTTTTTGGTTTTTTTCCTTTCTAATAATGGGCTGCTCGGCGTCTTGTCCGGCGAATTTCATCGCTCACCAGCAGCAAAACCCCGTTGCCTCGAACTCATCCTCCTCGCTTTCCAACTCGCCGTACTACTCCTTCTCTGATCCCTCGTCGACGCCGGTCTCGAGGACCCTCTCCCTGCCGACACCGCTGGTCCACCACCCGCCGCTGCGGAAAGGCGACTCCAACCACTTCGTCTCGCTCACGTCCACCACCTACGGCTCGCTCGTGCTCGTCGACAGCCCGGCCCGAAACCCCGACCGGGATTTCCCTAATCCGGCGGCGTCGCAGGCGATGAAGGATGAGGATTTTGACCTGCCGGAGGACCCCCTCTCTCCGGACTCCGTCATCAACACCTGGGAGCTGATGGAGGGTCTCGACGATGAGGAATTTCAGTTCCACATGGTGGGTTCCCCTGAAAAATTCGGCCCGAAAAAGGGAATCAACGAAATCGAAAGGGAGATGGTGAATTCGTATGAGATTGTAGAGCACCCAGAGTCGAAGCCTCTGTGGAAGCATTTATCAGAGGAATCGTTGTTGGCGAAAATGGACACAAATGTGGTGTCCAGCTACAGAAAGGCCTTGATGGGCAGGCAAAATGTTGGTGATAATGCCAAGGAGAGCTTGAAACCTCCGAAAAAAATCGAGTCTTTCCAGTCTAATGATATGGGCTTGGGCTCCTTAGTTTCGGACAGCGACGAATCTTGTTGTTTATCGGGTGCTGAGGATAGAATTGTGCTGTACTACACTAGTTTGAGGGGAATAAGGAAGACTTACGAGGATTGCTGCGCGGTCCGTGTGATCTTAAGAGGGTTTCGAGTCTTTGTGGACGAGAGGGATATTTCAATGGACAGGTCTTATAGGGCCGAATTACAAGAAGCTCTGAAGGGAAAAGCTGTAAGCTTGCCACAGGTTTTCATCAAAGGGAAGTGTATAGGTGGGGCAGAGGAGATCAGGCGGCTTAACGAGGCTGGTGAGCTGGCGAAGCTGCTGGAGGATTTTCCGGTTAAGGATTTGGGGTTTGCCTGTGAGGTCTGCGGGGATGCTCGTTTTGTGCCCTGCTCGAATTGCAATGGCAGTCGAAAGATTTACGAAGGGGATGAGGGGAAGTTGATGAGATGTCCCGAATGCAATGAAAACGGGTTGCTTAGGTGCTCTGGCTGCTGCCCTTGAGCTTTGTTTCTTCTGTCACTATTAATGATAACTATAAATGCTATTGGTGTTTGGATTATTTTCTGTGAGGTTATAATTATGTGCTATTGATGGTAATGATCTTGGCATTATGTATCTAATCGTACATTCTTGAGTTTGATCTCATTAGTTTTTCTCCAAGTGTTCATATTTGTGCAGTATTTTGGTACTGATGTTCATGGTTTTTAAAAACAAGTGTAATATGGTGGTGTATGCCTGTTATTCGGTCGTGCTAGAGTTTGAAGCAGTTCGTTGATATCCATAATGTTTGGTTAAATGCGAGTTTGAAGTTTGGACTATGTTTTTGCTCAGCCGAGTTGTCGTTCTTGTTATGGTGAGCTTAATATTTTTCTTTGATTTCATGCAAACCTTCCCAATTTCAGATCATCTTGATTTGAGGAGTCGATGGCATTACATTAGAAATGATAGTTAGGAACTGAGTCTATAGCAATTAGCAAGTGCATTTGTTATATAAATAACTAGAGTGGTGGTGGAACTTGTTCTTGTTATCTTTTTACTTGAGATATTTGGTTGATTTCTTCACCAAACCATGTGAAGGAAGATGACATTTGGGAGCTGTAATATACTTTGAAAAAATGTCATTCTTTTGATCATGTGTTTTTAAGTATGTGTTTCAGTTTATAGATATGTGCTGTCTAAATGACATGCATATGAGACAAAAAAAAGGTTAAATCTTTTTTGTGTTTTGCAATTGGATGGTGATGCGGATAGATTAATTATTATTATTATTATTATTATTATTATTATTATTATTATTATTATTGTTATTATTATTATTATTTAGTAGATTGATGAACAAGTTAGGTTTAGAGCTTCAGTAGTCTTATTTAAAGACTCATTTTTCTTTGTTATTGACAATTGATTTTGAATAAAAATATGAATTGATTGTGAGTTTTTATCGAGAGAGTATCTCGTTTTGCGTGCTTTATGAGAGAGTATCTCGTTTACTCGTTTTATCCTTCCCACTCGTACGCTCTTCCCTACATCAGATGGCAAGGGTCAATAATGCTATAGTTAAATTCTTAAATCTATATACATATTAAAGGTCAATCTATTTACCAAAAATAGTAGCAAAAAAAGTCAACACACATTTAATGAAAACCTTATTTGGAAATTTTTTACTATATGCATTGAAAATTAGAAAAAATCTCTTGATTATGTAAGGGATTTATTTTTTGACAATTGCTAAATTATTTTTTTTTAAAAAAAAAGAATTATTATGAGAAAATTGAATTCTAAAAAACATGTGTGTGTATTTTGTAAACATTTATACTCAAAATCTACTTCTATAACTTTTATAAATGACATTATATGACTGTGTTTTATAATAAAATAATAATTGAGTATTATGGTGAACGAGAATAAATAAAATTTTTATTTTTTCTTATATCAATGAATAATTATGTATTCAAAAATCAAATAAATATTAGTATGACGTGTTAGCGGAATTATATATTAATTAACATGTTAATTTGTTAGCTTAAATAAACGCCACTTATTAAAGATGTGAAATATAGATGATCCAAGCCTATCGTTTTTTTTTTGTCTAGACGTACAAGTCCTATAGAAATAATTGATTTATTATATGTATCACGTGAATCGCACGGGATATGCACTAGTATATAAACTTATTGACCATCATTTAAGTATGTAATTTATTTGAGTCTAAGATTTGTTAAGACTTTTTTAAGATTTGTTGGAATTTCTAAAGTTAACACAATATATAAAATTGTACTCTAAATCCCACCTCCACAATTGAGGGAGGTATATTTATTTGAGACTTCTAATCCTAAAATTTGGGATTTTTTTTTTTAAAAAAAACTTTAAAAATTCTGTTGTATTAATTCATAACTAGTACAACGCCCGTGTAATACACGGGTGCTTGCTAATTTTTTTTCTTAAAATCTAAAATTAATGAGAAAAAAATAGTTGAAAATTTAAATAGCTTTTATAAAAATATATATACTATTGTATTTTTAGTATGACACTTTTTATTTGTGCAACTTACTGTGTTATATTATGATATTTTTTTTTAACTTACAACATATAACTATATTAAACATAAATATATCAATTGAGAAATACTTTTATTTTTCTAATGAATTTTAATAAATATTATTATTTATTATTATTATAAAGATAAATATAATTTATTTATTTCATATATACAATATGGATGTCAAATCGAAGATCATCAAAAGATGATTAATTTGATATATTATATATGTAAAACCGATAAGAAATACAAAAGTTATCAACTTTTAAAATACATTTATAATTCAATAGTTTATTGAAGGAAACAAATCAAAATTCAGGGATATATTAGTCACTTAGTGCCTCACTATGTAAAAATTACAAAGAATTAAAGGGTTATATTAGTAAAAATAATATTAAAATACCTAAGTTAGCTAAATAATATTTATGGAATACCCGAACCTAGATTATTAATTATTAATATATTAATATTATTTATCCAAACCTAATTACGAAGCATGATTCTTCGCCAAATAGGATTCCGAAGCACCAGAAGCAGCCACGTAGGCTCAACGCATTCTGAAATTATATATAGGGAGGATTTTTACTACCTCCTATTCTTTTTAAACTAGTGAGTACCCCGTGCGATGCACGGATATATAAATTCAGAGAATATTATAATTTGACATGCATTAAGATATATGAGAGTTTAATACATACGAACATTATTCATCATAAAATGTTCATCACTAATTTTATATTATTAAATACTTCTTTGTACACAACATTATAACTTTGATTATTGGATAACTCGTTGTGAGGAGCACAGGCCGACTCGGGCCGGACGCGGGCTGTACAAGGGGCTGCAGAAATTGGGCCTCACTCAACTGGGCTCCCTTGCTGGGCTTCTCTCCTGGGCTGCGGATGCTGATTGTTGTCGCCAAAAAAATTGCCCCCACGCTTGGACAGCTTTTATAATTTTCAACTATATTATAAATTATATTTTATTCCAAGTTTAAATTTTTCATTCATAACTTATGTAACTATACTAATAAAGTATATTTTTAGTTTGAATCATGTAACTTGAATAATTTAGATAGAAACATAATTAAATGATTCCCTCTAATTTCTCTCCTCTCTCCCTTTTTCATATTCCATAGTATTTCACAATTTTCTCCCAATAAAACAAAAAATTACATACAACAATTATTAGGTTGACCATCAAATAAATCAAAATAAGATTGTAAATAAACATAAACTTTTCCTTAATAATTTCTATTTTTTTTGAAAATAATAATTGCAATGTTTCAGGTTCAACACAAAATTGGTTTGTTTGTTTTTTTTATTAATTGTTTATAAATAGGCTATCTATCTTAATTTTTGTTCAAAGTTGGTTTATTTTTATTTCTATCATCAGATATATTATGTTAGTCATCATTGGACATAAGCTCATAGGATGTGATGATAAATATGCATTTAGATTTTAATGTATGCAATATAAATGTAAAAAATACATAGAATATACTAACGCTAAATTTAGTTTATTGGACAGGTGCACAACAATTAGAAAAATGTGATTTTCTTAATTAAATCTTCAGGATAAATGCATTGCCAAAACAATAAATTTCCGCAAGCAAGGAGCTTGCTCTAATATATCATTCGAGAATTCAGTGTCGATGGCCGTTTTGGCGACGTTCAACTCCTTGGCAACCGGGATTCAAAACCTGACATAACTTACGAAAAATATAATTTTACAGAGGCTCAGGATTTTACCAAAAAAAAAAGGGGGGGATTAGGCTCGGAAAATAAAACAACAACTCAAGGCATGACTAACGTCGGATTTCTGAAATAAGTTCAGCGCCCCTAAATTCAAACAACGATCTCGACATGGTAAAAAAACTCAGATTTTCAATTCGGCTTGAAACAGAAAATAATGACTCGGGTATGTGATAAGAATTCGTAATATTATTGTTTCTAAGTGATAAGAATGTCAAATTTTGTGACATTCTTTGGGCGAAAATGTAAGCGTATATATTCCATATTTACTACCAAATCTTTATACCAAAAAATCTGATTCAAATTATTGTAACAACATCTAGTACAATTTTAACTAAAATTGAGTATGTGTATGTGGTTAGATGGTTATATTATCATTTGTTTTCAAAATATTTCTTTTATTAATAAGTCAAAATCGGTATGTATATGTGGTGATATCATATAGATTTATGGATGTGGCTTTGATTTTATTAGGAGAAGTTCTTTGTATACATATTTTATTTACGGTCAACAACTTGTCTTTGATTTAAAAAAATTGGAAGCAATAATAAATTAAAAAGCCTTACAAACTATATTTAGGATAAATGAATCAAAATATGTGCAAGTTTGAACCAATAACAATGTAAATAATAAAAGGGAAAAGGAAAAAAAATAGAATAATTCAATAATTATAATATGTATTAATTTTTAATAGATTGCATATAAATTTACTTATATATGCTAACATTTGACTAATATCAAATTGAAATTTAGCACGAAATTCAAAAAAATCATTAATTATCTTGCATATGCAACAAAATTAATTTATTACGGAATATATAGTTGAATGCGGATTATATGATTGGAGAGGGAAGGTGTATTTTGATTCATATGGTATCGGCGATAATTTCTATGTTTAGTTCCTTTTTTTTT